GCCAGAGTCATTGTAGTTATTAATGGGCTGAGAGTAAAAAATAAAGCAGTATTCCAGTTTCCTCCAGTCGCCAAGGAAACCAGCAATGCTGACATTAAGCTGAGTTTTGAGGATAGGTTAGTTTTTTATGGGGTATATCTCATATTTATAACAGAAATACACTCACCCACTCAATTATTTGATGTAAGTGGTAAATAATCATAAGTGGTAAAATAGTAGATGCAAATGGTATAATAATATTGTATGTAATTGGTTTAATAGTTGCTTTAATTGGTATAGTATTTGGTGTAAGTGGTATAATGCTTACTGTAAATGGTACAGTATTTGATGCAGATGGTATAAATGTCATTTTGAGTGGTATATTATGGTATAATGCTTACTGTAAATGGTACAGTATTTGATGCAGATGGTATAAATGTCATTTTGAGTGGTATATTATGGTATAATGCTTCTGTAAATGGTATAGTTTTTGATGCAGATGGTATAAATGTCATTCTGAGTAGTATATTATGGCATAATGCTTACTGTAAGTTGTATAATAGTGGTATAATAGAAATACACTCACCCACTCAATGTGACATATTATTTGATGTAAGTGGTATAATAATCGTAAGTGGTAAAATAGTAGATGCAAATGGTATAATATTGTATGTAATTGGTTTAATATTTGATGTAAGGGGTATAATGTTTACTATGTGTGGTGTATTTGGTGTAAGTGGTATAATTGTCACTGTGATTGGTATATTATTGTATAATGCTTATTGTAAGTGGTATAATGTTTACTGAAAATGGTATAATATTTGATGTGGTATAATAGTTGCTGTATGTGGTATAATGGTTGCTGTTAGTGGTATAATGATTATTGTCATCTCTTGCATTCCACAAGGCCAAGCCATTCACATGGCAATACGCCATAATTAATTGTATATGGTGTAAATGATGTATTAAAATAGTATAATATTGTATTAGGGGGCTGTATTGTACATGGTGTATTGAAATAAATAAGGGTATAATATGTAACAATTGATCTCATTGATAGTAAATTGTGAGTTTCATGTCTTTATCTGAATAATATCATATTGATCCTTTATTTTTAGAGAATTCAATTTAGTTGTGTATGTGAAAATGAAAGAGAGGGAGAATGACTGTTATCAGCTAAGAGCAAAGACGCCACAAACTATTGAACCTGAACCAAAAAGTTTCTATAAGGTGAGTCAAAATGTTTGCTGTGAAGAAACTATAATATAACAATCAATAACAACTGGATCCACAGCAAAATATTAGATGTTGATTTTTACGGCAGTATGTTAGCTGACATCCAAATATGGGCAATGGTTATGAGTAAACAAATATGGAGAACCTGTCAACCTATAATAGACGTAAGCAAACTTGGTACATATATGTATATATGTGTGAGGCAATATTCAAACACATATATGGAGCACAGAATGTGCGTCAGTGCTTTAAGGGTTGGCAGGGATTAAATTTGTATTATATTGTAGTGTTATTAATACAAAGGATTTTTTTCCACATTTATAGAACAGAAAATCGGTGCTAAATTCTGCCTAATTATACAGCATTGTTGCAACACATTCATACAGTTCTCTAGGGACTGTAATTTTCCCAATGGATTGCTGCACAAAAATGAGGAGGATTTACGTTTTGATAAATGGTTATCATTTTAAGATTATTAAACAAACGTGATCAACATTTCATACGCAATGCATGACGTATAGGTGACGCAGTGTAGCGATGAATGCAACATCACATTACTACACTGTGGTACACTGTACACAGTATGTATGTACAGTAATGATTTGCTATTTGAATGTAACATTGTACAATTTTGTAAGTCCAACTATCACAACATGTCTAAGTTGTAACCTTGAATTCACTGTGTTACTGTGAATCAGTGAACGTATACATTCACTGCTTGCCTCCAGTTTCCACTTTGTCAAAAATTAAATCCTGCCCAAAGTCGACTCAGCGAAGCTGTTCATATTACTGATTGTCTGTCGTCATCCGTCGTCGTCGTCATCAACTTTGCAATACATGTATCAACTTCTTGATATTTTTGACTTCTTGTTAAAAACAGCAAGTCTGATTGCTTTGATATTACATACGACAGGCTGCTTATGTAAATAGTGTGATAAAAAACAAAATTACTATCTGTGTATTCATCCTGCAATTTCGATTCCAGTGGTTTTTCTTGTTTTGTTGCCATCCATACCCCTTGAGGCGTCCATTGCGGCATGTCAATCACAAGAGTGCATACTTGAGTGGATATTACAAAGCATATGCAAGAGTAAGAGATAAAGCAGGTGGCAATGACAATGCAAATTAAACTACGTACATACATTAAATCATTGAGCATATTTTTGTTTCACTTTACTCAGGTCGAAAAAGACAAGATTATCATTTTTCTCAAGAAACAAATAAAAAAATCTTGGTTGCAAGTTGGTGACAATATAGATGTGCTAGAACCTGAAGATGATACAGTATAGAAATATATATATAGTATAGAATATATAAAAAAAAGTCTTAAATTGGATGAGCTGGGACAAATAGGATGTTGCCATGGTTTTTCACAAAATGATAACAATATAGTATAGAAAAGTTATGATGAAAATACAATAAATGATACAGTTCATTACTTTTACATTTTTATTCACACTTGATTTTTTGAGCGAGTCTTGAACGCTAAACATAACATTCAAGATTGTTTATCTATTTAACTTGAAAGGAACTACCGGTAAATTGACATTTTACATGTAATATTACACACTAGAGGGCACTGTCAATATTTTACTATTTGGGGAAGAGCACAATAGATTTTTTTATGAAATATTCACTGCTGCACAATTCACAATGTCCCCTGATTCATGAAATCTACATCTTGAAGCAGTTTACTGAAGTGATCTGTAAACACCATTGCCACCCAACATCTGGTCGAGTTGCATGGATAATTACACACAATCGTCTGATAGATGTGTCGGTATGTGTTACCCGAAATAAATCCAAGAGTCATAATTGCATCATGTCAAAGTTCACAGTGTACATCACTGCTAGGTATTTTACTGCTCAGACAGGATGGAGTAATCCTGTAAAGAATTGTTTTTGTTTTTTTACTGACTTGTAAGTTATAGTTTTTAAATATAGATGTGCAACTTTCTGAAGACAAAAAATAGAGAAAATACTTTGCTTACGTTTAATCTCTTTGAATACAGTCTGTGAAACTACATATATAGAAGTGAAATAAAACTTCAAATCAAAAAGAGCAACTTTTTCATTGTAATAAGGTAGAATGTCTTGATGGTATGTAATTAGTAAAAATTAAAAGCGTTATAAATCTTTTGTTGAGTGAAAGGTGTCATTAAATGAATTACAAATAAGAAATGAAAGTCTGGTAACCATGGAAACAAAATGCATACTAGTAATTCAGAATCGCTAGTGAACTCTCCAAGTGTTTTTTTCATTCCTCCATGATTGTTTACCAAAAAAATAATTTGGAAAATGTATCAGAAATTCTTGTTAAACGTGGGTTAGAACATCTATCCGCAAGTCTGATGTCATTGTTACCATGGTTACGAGTATAATTGCATTCTTGAAATGGTTGAAAAAAAGTTTAAATATCAGTCACCTGCATGGTTGGTGGTACTCCCATGGTACATTTCACTTTCTGTTCTGGAAAACTCAAGAATGAAGTTAATTGCAAAACTTGGGGCTTGATGATGTTCACATTGACACACAAAAAGTGATGTCATTTAAACTGAAAACCACAAAGAATGATGACACTGCACACACTTGTATACTAACAAGCTGATACAGTGAGATGCTTTGTTCACATAAAAAACAGTTGTATAGTTTTCACTGATTTAGTGTGCTATATTGTCATGAACTGATAAAAAGGTTGATACTGTTCCAAATAAAAAAAAAATGGCATTAATAATTCTATATACAGGTATATGATGAGAATTATTCTGCATTAAATTATATATGCCAATTTTAGTGAGAACTCCCAGAAAGAAAGATGAGCAGTTCGTGAAAAGCCTCAATCTTGTCATTTATTTAGTAGCGCCCTCTAGTGACGATGATGTAAATGATGAAACGAAGGCTGTTCAGAACGTCGATATCGTTTTGATCTGTTGTCGTCCATTAATGAGAGATTTTATTATATTTTAGACGACTACACAACCAAGGAAGTCAGTTTGTACAATATTGTTTTAATTAAACATGTCATTTTGACGTAACAGAAGGGCCCGTCACTAGAGGGCGTGACTTTTAGAAATGACGTATTACATGCAACTAAAATTCCTGTTTTATGACTTTTTCGTACGGTGGTTATTGAATATTTATATTATTTTACCTCTGCTGCACCTCGTCCGTGCTGACGGCGAATTTAGGCAGTATATAGCGCCACCAAGAGTTTTGCAGTATTTTTTTCTTCAGATTGTTTGATCGTAGTATTTAGCAGTGTATGTAGCTTCATATCATTTGTGTTTTCGTTTTCAAACACGTTGAATGTGTTCTGAAAATAACCATGTCTGTGTTCCTAGTTTTTCGGGGCGGAGTTACGTCACAGAACGCTCCACGTTGCTAAGACGCGCACCACTGTACCATGTATTTCTTTGGGCTCTGCTGTGAGTTGCTGTGGAACGCGGGTCGAGCCGGTGAAAGCTAAAGTCGAGAAAACGGCACAAACTTAATTTTGAAGTAATCCTGGACAACCAAATTTATATATGTTGCACATGCAGAGGTAATCTTTCTATAATATTTAGGGGAGTCTGAACAACTATTCCAAAGTACCGTTCTCTGTGACTTTTCGGTCTTTGTTTTAACCGTGATGGTTGCCAGGCGGCCCGGATGTCCGCTCCCGACATTTCACGAAAGGTTTAACAGCAAGCTCCCTCTATCAGGCAAACATGCAAAACCAGCTGTTTTTTTTAAGATTTCTCCAAATCCAAAGCTTTCTGTTTTAGAGTGACTGTCTGCTGGATGCCGTATCGACATCGACACATTCCTTCTGTTGCGAAGCATACCAATTTCTTGTTGTCAGATTTGGTATAAAATCCGTACTGTGGAGTTAAAATGTCGTTGACATTTCCCGTGATGATCGTCAAAACATTATTTCTGTCCTTTTTGTTTCGTACAGTAACCTGAATCTGACCTTCAAATTTGGTTTCCACGACAAAATGTCCGTTATACTCTTCTTCTTTGATTATCAACTCAGCCGTTGTTTCGGTCTGTGGGGGGATGGTAATTTTCGTATCAACAGTCCACACTAGTTCCTCTTCTAGAGTATGTTCCTCCATTCTGTTGAGCGACAGCTCTCGACTGAATCCCGCGTTAGCTTGTATCACGGGATTTGGAGGCGAAAGATTCACTCCTATTGAGCCTCCGATCGTGAATCCTTTCTCGATGGAGATAGAACAACTGGAACGCGTTCTTCTTTCAGTCTTTAGTATATTTTCTTGTTCCTTTTCGGTGTTGTTGGTGAAGGACGTTTTAAAAAGTACGTATCCAGACGGCAATTCACCACACGGACCTTCCGTTTTATATCGAGGTTTCTCATGAACCACCCTCAGACGCTTTAAATTGATGTCGGTTGACAAGATGTCGTCAAGGTCCGCTAATTTTCTTACATCTTTGTCCGAGAACTTTTGGACATAATCTGCCGTCCAGGTTTTGACCACGTCTTCGATGTCTGTTACTTTGTCTGACGTCATCTGAAAATAATGGAGGGTCATTGAATCATTATTTCTATGGCGTGGCTCTGTTATAACGGAGGGAGGCGTAATGCATACAAAATAAAAATGTGATGATTACGGAATGTCATGAAACCATGAGTGTAAAACGTAAGTGATTCGCGTACCGGAACCATCAAGTAGTCACCATTCAACTAATTTGTGCCGTAGAGATCGCGAATTGGGAAGTTACGGCAGCAGTCACACGAGAGTTAACAATCCAAATAAATCGTTCAGTAATATTTTACCTTGCCCGTATCATTAAAGATAAAATAGAAAAGGTATATTAGGGTAAGAGTCTGTCTTTGTTGTTGTTGTATCATGATATTTTATAGATGGAAATAATTCAACTGCTTTTCCACCGCTGTTTCAATCCTATTGTTAACAGTATTTAAAATTAATTATGGCAATGCATATTCATATTAAAACAAACTTTGATGAATAAAACAAAAATATTATGTAACAAAAGGCAACCAGAGGTTAACTTTAATTATTTATTGATTTTTCACCGATTCGCTATTGTTATTATTTATTTTGGCAACTGGTTTAGAAAACATTTAAAGCGGGGGAGTCGTCACTTGCGCATGCGTCAGATGCCATAGCGTGTCATTGTTTACAAACAAG